TGGCCGGGGAATCGCCTCAATTAACGGCGTAACCGTGAGCCATTGTCTCGTCCGGAACACACGTGCCCTATATGCGCGTCTCCCCACCCCGTACTGCATGTTCAGCCACCCCCGAGACGCGACACACTGTAGCAACATCCGATGTCTGATAATCGCTTCTACGCGAAGTAAAACACAGCCTCGATTGGCAGCCTAGATACAGTCGCGAATTTACAATCGATTCGTGATCTAATTACTATTATGATATCGAAGTCGCTAGATCTCGAAAAGCATATCCAACATGACGGACTAAAATATGTAAATTAAACAAAAAAAAAAAAAAAAANATATATGAACACTGTTGTTATCAACATAATTTATAAGAGAAAAACATAAAATTTAAGTTCGAACAATAATTCTCCCAAAATTCATTAAAATAATGATTTTAATAAAAGCACTTTGCTTCAATAAAATATATTAATAAAATGTGTGACAATTTTATTAGTTTTTAAATATTAAATATATTAAATAATGTGAATCTATCGATATATATAAATATTTAACTCGGAAAAAGTGTTTAACGTTAATAATTCATTAATGATACATATGTGTCATCGACAGTCAAAGGGTTAATTTAACAATTGGATAAAGGTTTTCCAGGAAATTTAAATCTCTAATAATTATTAGGACTCGAAGATCGGTTTAAGCGTAGAAGATTGTTTCGCCGTGTAAATTTAGTTCAGAATATTCAGCATGTGCGTTACACGCTAAACAATTTTATCCTCCCACAATAATATAATATTGATAATATTAATATTCAAATCGCACTGNAATTTCTTCGTTTGATTACACCAAGAAGAAGCAGTCTTTCTTAATCTTTCGATCGGCTTTCGTACCGGATCAATCAAGGCCCTTAAATCTAACAGTCTGTCACTGAAGACGTGTCATCGCGTTCTAAAGCGCCACGAGAGCCCCAATCTTAATTCTGACGATTACAGGGTGCCATTTGTCGCGATCAGGATTATCCGTAAAATTTCTCACCGAAGAGAATATAAGGGTTGATGGAATGTGAAACGGTGCATAAAAAGCGCAGAGGAACCACCTGGCGCGATTCGAAAGTCGACAATTCGATAACCTCGAAATCGTCTCTCGATCATAGATAAACCCGATTACAAGGGTCGATCAGTCGGTGCAAATCGTTCCGAGGATCTCGATTAGACATCGGAACGACGTGTTCCTCGACGGCGATCGCCGAAACGATCGACGGGGAAGGTCGTCTGCGCGTCGGCCTGGTTGCTTCGCGCCAGTGATTTCGAGGGTTTGTCGCTCGCCTTTCCTTCCTGCAACCCCCCGGCCTCTTTCCGCGCTCTTATCCCGGAAGGAATTTAATCAGACTACCCTTCGAATCGACTCGAACCAAATTGAATCGAATAGTTTGTAGCGGCAGGGGGGCGAGAATTTCTCGCGGCGAATGAAAAGACACCCTCGCGAAATATTTGACGAGTTTGAGCGAGAATGGCGAGTCGCGCGCACGCGGCGGCAAGGGTGAGAATCGTATTTCCACCGGCGATAAATTCTCCGCGAGGGTAGCCCGGGTCGATCGAGGTGTAGCGTTCCGTGTGCGCGTTCAAATATATTTCCAACTACTGAATATGTTAAAGTCAATCGCGGAGGCGACGACGACGCGTCGGGCAAATACGAAGAGACGCAAATATTTTCCGATAAACAGCTATTAATGCGCCCGTCAACGCGCGACGACGGTCGCTCGGGCGGTCGCAGACGAGAAAGCGTGGTCGAAATGGCACGAAAAAATATACACAATTAACAGACAATATCTCTGTCAGCCTCGCCGTCGGCGGATAATATCGTGTGCGATTGCTGCGCAGAATCGTTCTCGGGAAATCGCGCCGACAATGTCGCGGGTAAAATTGATTAGCCACTTGATAATCCGCTGAAAGCCGGCTTATTTTAGGCGGCTGATTCAATCTTACAACTGACGCGTTCCGCAGCTAGGGATGCGAAGGCACTAAACTAAGAACGATATTTTACGTAATTATTTCCCGACTTGGACCGCCCTAGGGCGCAGCTTATTTTCCCTTCCTTCCGCATTGTTCCTCCCCTCCCTCCCCCTTCCTTCCGCTATTTCCAACGCTAATTCGAAATACCGTGTTCTCTCTGCTTAAGCGTCGGCTGGTGTTTTTCAAACTTTAAGAGAATAAATGATCGTCCGTATTCTATTACTCCGCGACTCGCAGGAATTCTGTTCCTCCATAAAACACTCGCCTCAGCAAAGTGAAGTTAATTAACGATAAAATATTATACCCAGCAGCCAACTGTTATATTATTTTCTTCCCGGTGCGAAACGCCGAGAACTAAATTGACCGTTCCTGGTTCGAACAGCGAGAACTTATCGCTGATCCCGTGAAGAGGGAAAAGACAAGCAGGTCTTGACAACAGTTGCGAAACGGTCGAGAAGTGTCCTGCAAAACGCGCACGTCCGGCCAAACGCGACGTGCGAAAATCGCGACGATCTCGTGACAATTCCCTCGGCTTTAAGGACCAGCTCATCCAGCCGTGCGAAGACCCTCCTCTCGACGAGTCCGTGATTACTCGTCCCGTGTTCTGAATATCATCCCCAACGAGGCACGCTTTATTCCATCATCCTCGTTCATTGTCGCTGACGTACGCGCGCGCACGCCAAATTCTGAGGTACGCAAATAAGAAATAACGACTTCCGTCGTAGCGGCACGGCGCGTTTTTACGGAGGCCACGACGCGACTCGACTCGGCCGATGAAAACGGAATGAAATTTCGTCGGATAATTGCGAATCTTCGGTGTCCTCGATTCGGCCGTGTTGCGGCATAATTCGATTTTACTCCGCGCGGGAGACGGATAGGAGACACGGTCAACGTTGCGTCGAGTTACGGCAGATGGGCACAACGCGGGTTCGTTTCCATCGCCGGAAGGACGAGGCTTGTAATTTCTCTCGCAAAACCTCCCCCCCTCTCTATCACTCTCTCTCTCTCTCTCTCTATCATTCCCTCGGTCTTCCTCTTTGTTTCTCTCTCCGCCCCGCATTCTCCTGAGCCTCCACGATTTCGGCCGTGCGACACAATAACGTGCAATTACGTCGTGCACATACAATTACTGCAGTACGTTCGGCGCAAGCGGCAGTGCGCTCGTAACCGTTGCTATTTCGAGCCGCGGCCGAGCTGCTCCGGCTAGCCCCGGGGGTTAGTACGACTCAGGCGGCGAAAGGGCGGAGTGGAGAGGGCAGGGAGGAGGTAGCAGCAGAAGCGCTAACACTTTCTTCAGTAACTTAACGCTTTAAGCCAAACGGCACTTCCGTGGCATTTCAATCGCCGAGTCGTGGATTTTAAGTTACCCTCTCACGTATTGTTTAATTTACGACCCTCTCTCTCCCCTTCTCTCTCTCTCTCTCTCTCTCTCTCTCTCGGGGGGATAACTATTAATACGTATTATCGGCCTTGTCACTTGCTACCTTCATGTTATCTTAAGGGCGGATTGTTATTAAAAGATTCAATGAACGGGGAATCCCTTCGTGAATTTAAAATCTTGCTTTCTTAACGAGGAGCCCGCCCCTAATACATCGTTTCCCTGTATAACTTGTTAATCCTGGTGCGCTCATAATAATTTAAGCCCGATGTACATAAGGGGCCAGTTCGTAATTAATATTTTTGATGTATTCTTTGTACGAAATATAAGAAAAAAAATAACTGTTAGATTCCTGTGAGATTCGGTCTCAATTTTCTGTATGCATGTGTATCTTCTAACTATATTATCTTCTAAATGTAAATAATGAAAGCAATTTACATTTTTTAGCTGCACCAACTGAAGACAAGTATATTGAATGCAAATGGTTAATGATCTGCTTTCAGATTCGTCGTAGAAGAAAACTTTGCGCATCTGCTCAAGATGCATCGTGAAAATTTCACCGCACATTTTACGACCACTGCAATATATACACGAAATATCGAAAATTTACGTTAACACATGGGAATTTCGACGTGAAGTTAGTCCTTTTTTACAAGGAAGATAGCGCGCGCGATAAACGTGAGAAAATGTGCAGAAGAAAACGCGCGCATAATTCATGATAAGGAGTTTAAAGGATCCTATTACTGCCACAAACCGTGCGACGCCGCGCTAAGTTCTCGACAGCTCGGGTTACTTAATCGCACTGGACTCATTGTGAAAAATTGCATTTCTGTCTATGATAAATCGCCGAAACGCACGGCCGTTCGTTCTCGCACGCTCGAGCGAGGAGAGGTGCGGGAAATTCAATGTTTCGCTCCCGCCGGTGCCGACTGGTATTCTTATTACGCCCAGATTAAGGCTTTTCCGAACAGCTCGTTCTCGTTTAATGCAACGTTGTTTCACCCAGCAATTATAACCGCGCGAACTTCGGTCACGATCCCGGCGTGCAATCTCGTTTCGCGAAATTTAAACGGCTCGCTTATTAGTATTTCATAACGTTTGATAAATTAGTCTAATAACGTCTTATTACGCGATATATCACGCGCTACGTTTCAGAAAGTACGCGACACTAATGGATACATCTAAGCGACCTTTTTAAGCTTCGTCATTAGCACATGAACGTGTGTGTACAGGATGTCCTTCAACTTGATAATACAGCGCAATTTAGAGTTTGATGCCACAAATCTCAATCATCATATATAATTAAACTTCCAAACAGATGTCCTTAAAATATCGCGGATATTTTTAGATCCAAATAAATCGATTTGCTAAAGAAGATTAGATACATTTGTGAGAGACATTTTTGACATTTGAAATGTCCACTGGATAAAATACACGCAAAGAAAAAACTCCCTATTTGTCTGAGCAATGTGCATTTCGTTCATGTGCACATGTACATATATGTAAAATTCTACCGAGTATATGACATTAATTCCAACGGATCCTACAAAAATTCACCACCTCCAAGACGTTATATGTATTTGTATCCATCACCATATAGTTTTCGTTTCCAAGTTTTGACTCACCGAAATACCGCACCTCAGAACCGGCCACATTCCGCTTACATATCTGGAACAAAGATAGTTCTGTCAATTAAATTTGAGAGTCAAAAAAGCTTATATAAACAAATGTAATATATGATAATTACAGCGGGTAATTATAGCCTTTTATCATCGCACGATTCAACAAATTTCGTCTCGACAACTATGTTTCATCTTTCGACCGTAAACAAATGAGTGAAGGAGCACAAATGATTTGTAAACCTACGTTCGAGCCGACTCTGCTTGGCTCGATCCTCCGGTACAGCATCCCGGCTTCCATCGGAACTGGAATTGTGGTATGGCCCGTCAGGTCTGAAACAAAAATAATTTTCCTGATTAGTTATTTAACGGTAGAAAAGTTGCTTGGTTTGGACGAGTTGAGAATGAAGAGGAGTGTTCACTATCGAGAACGAGAAATTTGACTACGTGTTTCTTTTCTAATCTTAGAATAACCCTTTACTCTGGGTCTACGCTCTTAAACCCTATATTTGGGGACACGTGGCGATTAAAGAAAGGAAAACTCAAGAACTCTTTAGCGTGACATATATATTTTTTTAAAGATGTCATGTAGTGGGAAATTGATGGGATGAAAAACAGAGGAAAGCGGGAGGTTCGTAAAAAATATCTGCGTGTAGGAGTTTCACATTAGCGTTTTAGAATTAAATCTAATAAAAACGACGCGTGCTGCAACGACCTGTCATGCGATGCCTGCGCTCCGCTTACGACGCGGGTAATTTTTCGTTCCTTTCGCACTATTAGCTTTCATTCGGCAAAATCGAAAACGACGATTAATGCGACGTGTTCACTTGTCCGTGTCAACGATTGTTATGTTTCTATGTACACTCGACTGCTAAAGCACCGACGCGCTCAAGACCGCGCGTCCTTCAGCGCAACAACACACTTGAGTCCGTACATTCGTTGGCCGTATTTCTGTACGGGGTGTGTCACAAATATCATATGTTATCGTTTCAGCTGCTTTTTACGGGGCGAGAGACGAGATATCTCCGTTAACGCGCCGAAGCGGATGCGTTAACAACGTATTCCGGAGCTTAATTAGCGACGAAAACTCTAACGCGGCCATTTCGAGCTCGCGCCGCCACGTGTGTGTATGTGTGCGCGCAAATGCAAACAGCTCGTATTTACACGCAGTAATCTGCCGCAGCGCGACATCAAAAACGTTATGCTGCTGGTTATTCTGCGTATTTCCGAAGCGCTTTTCCACCTTACTAAATCCTCTCTGTAAATATCTGAGCATTTTCGAGCAGTCGTAAAAGTCCATGACATAAATACGTCAAAGCGAATTTCAGCTGGGCGCTCGTACTCAAGGGTCGCGCCAAAATTAAATAAATGGTCCCAACTGAAAAGGAAGTGTACGGCCCGTCGCGGATATCCCTGAGAATTGATCTATATTTTAAACTACCGTGTAATATCATTTTTTTATTACCATACATTCAATTAAAGTTTAACGGTATATGGGAATTCCCCGATGAGTTTCAGAAGACAGGAAGAACGAATGCCTATTATAAAAGTACCTATAAGCGATACCGTTTTAATCGGTAAATTAATCAGCGAAAGGGTAAGAGACAAATGAGAAATTCTTGTAAAGGGAAATGTACGCGGAATTACAACGAGCAAGTGCGATGTGTGAGAATCACGAAATCACGTTGTTCCACGGTAACCAGTCTTCGCAGCCATATATCGCGAGAATTTCTGATTCCGACGACCACATTTACACCAACGAGCAACAAGTCGCATAGAACGGCTCTTACTAAATTTTCGAGACGTTCCATCATCGAGTCGCGCGAATGGCTTCCAGACGCAAGACATTTCCCACGAATTTACTCACTCCCTTTTCACACGTCGAACTTCACCGGGCGCGAGCGACGCACGCGAGCGCCGAAGAAAATCTCCCTTCCTTTCAAAACCAGCTCCAACGTCGTCCCTCCATGGGGAGCTAAATCCATTAGACATTCGTCTTCTCTTTTTCCGCGAGATAGGCGAGGCACAGGTACGGGCGCGGCGCGGATCGGCACTGGCATAACGGTGGAAAAGCCGACGCATGTAGGAGCGGAGGGAAAGACGCATTCATCTCTCGCCGGAGTAAAATTCACCGTGAATACTGAATAAAAAGGACCTGACAAATTACGGTACAACGAAAACTGCATGCGCCTCCCCTTATCAATTTCGACGAACGCGCGACAAAGCCGCTTTTTCCCGAGGAGAAATTCTGCTTCTGCATTAATCCTGGAAATTATGTCAAACTTGAAAGATCAACGGAGAATCTCTAAAGCTATACAGACTATTGCCCCATCTTGATGCTACAAATATTTATACAGGGTGTATCTGAACTTCACCGACAAACTCACAGGATAGATTTTCTATATAAAAAGTAAATAGAGTAGTCTTGGTTCAATATATCTTCAAACGCTTAGTTTGTGAAATACAGCTACCGTAACCTCAGTTTAAAAAAAAAACATTTTATTTATTAAATCACGTTTTACAAATAACTTATGCTTGCATAACCGTAAGCTCCTCGAAAATGTAGGCATCCATGATGTCAAAAGAAATTAATATGTTTTTTTAATTTCACACGCAACAAACGGTAATAATATATTAACATCACAATAAAAGGTTCTTCAGTTAATATTCAGAAATATCAAAATTGATAGTTATCTTCAAAAACAGGTAAAAAAAAGTTTGTCTAATTCTCCTTAACCCGCTTGTCTTATTATATTTTCTTTCATCGTTGCCATCTTTTGAAACCTGTATTTCAAAAACCAAACTTTTGCGGACGTATATTTACTAAGACTTCATTACTCATTTTTCAACATAGGATCTGTTTTGTAACTTTTTCGGTAGAGTTCAGATATACTCTGTATATACTACTAAATATATTATTATTATTATTAATTATTACTAAACTTGTAATTATTAACTAGATTACTAAATATATTACCAGCTCCGTGTTGAGGTTGCTAAAGTATTGATTCGAGAATGATTTAATATTTAATAATCTCAGTTACATCGCTATATCTCTGATACCGGTTTAAGGACGCGTCGGAGGAGAGTCATCTCACTTTCGTCCCTTCGATCAATTCCTTATGCGGGCTAAATGACGGGCCGAGTTGCCCTCACAGAATCGACGCTAATTACAGGTCGTAACGGACGAGATCGAGCGTGTCATAGGTCGGGTGAACGAACGAGAGCAACGAACTGTGTTGGTACAAGTGCGACGCGCCGCAAGGTCGCCTGACATCAACGGCAGAATAAATCAGAAGTTCACCTTTGCGCACAGAGACGGCCGCTTCTTTCAACGGCCGACCGTTCATTTTCAAATATTTATTCCGTCGTTTATATTTATTCTAGCAATGAGTAAATATTCTCGCGTCATCGGAATTTACAATACGTTGTTGTATCACGGTGCGCAAGCGATGTTACCAGACTGATGTGTTTTGCGAGTTCGGCGGCGTCGCAATTAATTACGGGACAAGAAGCGACGATCGATCGACGCGGAAGGAACGCCGAAGCGAGAGCGAAAAGAGACGGCATGACAATCGAGAAAATAACTGTCAACAGAAGCGTTAAAACGATCGGGGATGTTTCAAGGGCTGGGGAGGGTGCGCGTTGTATTTGTCATGGTTGCCCGACTCCGTCGAATTGTGTGTTGCGCATGTATCCGTGTTGCATTTTTCCTTCCATGGCGACCGCAGGTCTGCCGATGACAGCTCGTTATGAGGATTTTCGTGGAAACCTGACCGCTAAAGAATCGCTTTCACACATGGACCTCCGCTCACCGGCTTGATCACTAGTTAGTCCAAAAAAAACACATCACCTTCTTGCCCTTCACAATCATCCCTCTTTTTTTGGGAAAAGAAGCTCGTCTCCACGACGAGCAAGATGCTCGCCAGTCCGTCGTCCCGGGGGTGTTGTAAAAAAAGAGCCGTAAAAACTTAATACGCCATGAGGAATTGGGCGCTACACGGGCGGATGTTGTTTCCGGAAAAACTTTTCGTGTAGATTCGTAGAACAAGTTACCAGCTCTCGTGACGATTTTCCCAATGAGATGGTCGAGAGATACGGATTAATTCGTAATATGCAGGGACGTACAAGGGAGACCGGTTGGAACTAGGAGCGGGTTGATAAAGCGTTTCATTTATACTTATTATGAGAAAAAACAACACGAGAGAAGTCGTTCCCTTCAGAACATAAATACTAGTTTTCAATTTTCATAAAAATCGGAAAAATATTAACAAAAAAAGAAATCTGTTTCGAGACCAGCCTAGTAAATTTTCGAACGTCTCGAACTTTTCTCTTAATATTCTTCATCGTGACTGAATAAATCTAAATGACGTTAGATAGTAGAATGAAGTTTTCTGCAGCTAATGATATGCTGTTTTGCGTAAAAAAGTAATTTTCATTGATAACATTATTGAAATCGAAAAAATAAATAGATAAGGCAGATTAGATAATTAGATTAATTCACTGCGAAGCAGACTAATTCGCTGCTTTTCACCAATTGCTTATCGGAGATGTACTTTGTAATTTATTACGTATCAGTAGATAAGCTAAAAGTAAGTATCTTTATAGTTATTTGCTTTAAAATACTTGTACCAAACGTACAGTTGCTTAATTAATATAATGAATAGTAAAATTGTTGCCAGTTTTATCGAAGATTGCTTGGATGAGATTGTTTATTTAAAAAGTCTTGGAGCTTATAAGTTATATTTCGAAGCACTGAATAATTTAATTAAATAAAGTATCAATATTCCAGTTTATTCTCTTGTATTATTAATTTGTTGTTGTTATTATGTTCTCGGTATTACGTATTACGTGTAACTACAGTACGTTCAACACGAGAATAGTACAGACAAATGATATCATGTGCCAACTGCGTTAACATAATGTAAATACGCTAATGTAATTAATAAAAAAAATTCACTATATTCTGAATATCAAAAATATGTTATAAATAACTTCTCATTTATTACTAAATAGTTTTAGACGTGTGTATGTATATATATCTCTCAATATGCACAATTGTATTTGTTATATATAATGTTGACCTGCCCCGGAGCGCTTTCAAACATACCTCGGTACCGTGGCAACTTCGCACAAATGCTCCATGTTGGTATTTTGGTTATTACAAACGGAATTATACAGATTACAGGGTTTTTGATAGCATAAAAATAAAAATGACTGTTGTCGTTATTATCATTGTTTCGTAAATCACAATAGTTTTCTGACAAGTTTTAACACGAAAATTCTGAAAAATTACCGAACCTATCCCAGTCTCCTTTACGGTATCGCGCGGA